GTCAGATCATCAAAAAACAGCCTGATGGTGAAACCGTGGCTCTATTACTTTGATTTGGGGCTCAGATATCTGCAGCATGAAACTCCTCCAGAACCAGACAACCTGAATCTACAAGTCAAGGACTTGTTCAAACCAACAAATCAATCTTCTGCGTGAAGTTTTGCCTTTATAAGGCCCTCCCTTGCCTTTGCCAGACAGTCTTCACCAGGGCTGCTCTTTTTGTATACTATGAATAAATTCCCATGTTTTAAATCAATTTTCTCTGTAGCTTAACTCTGCAGCCAATATTTGCAACTTGACACTCCTTATGCCTGAGACCTTTTTTAAAAAAAAAAAAAATTTTGTCTAGAGCTCAAAAAAAACAAAAAAGAGGTCTGAGCTACAAATAATAGATTCAAGCTGCCTATGGGCAGCTGCATGGGAAATAAAACAGAAAAATGCCATGGGTTGTGTCACCTTTAGAGAGTAATGATGCACAAAACCGTATGAATGGTTCTGAGAAATTTCACTTGAGAAAAAACTCATTCAACTTTATTGAACACAGCGTCTCTAAATCACTTGGCTCTGAAAGGTTTTTTGCCCTAAGTAACTTCATTAAATCCCATTGAACTAGAGTTTTGTAGAACATGCTTCAATAAATGATAGTTTAGACATTTTGTAAGAAGTAAGCTTACTGATACTCATATTTGTATAAATATTTATATTTTATAACAAAAATCATATCAACCAAGTTATGATTTTTCTGTTATTTCTTCACTGAAGTAGCTTCACCACTAAATGCTTTGTAAACCAAAGTACTACTTTCCAGATCACCAGAGGAGCTGCAATTTCGGCATAATATTCAGGAGGAACCAGCCAGTCTCTAGAGAAGCATGTCCTTAAATATGAAGGATGGGCTGGGCACGGTGGCTCACGCCTGTAATCCCAGCACTTTGGGAGGCTGAGGCAGGCAGATCGCTTGAGCTCAGGAGTTTGAGACCAGCCTGGGCAATATGGTGAAACCTCACTCTACCAAAAATATAAAAAAATTAGCCAGGTGTGATGATGCATGCCTGTAATCCCAGCTACTCAGGAGGCTGAGGCAAGAGGATTGCTTGAGGCTGGGAGATAGAGGTTGAAGTGAACTGAGATAGTGCCACTGCACTCCAGCCCAGGCAACAGAACCAGATGTCATCTGAAAAATAAATCTGAAGGATGTCAGACACATCGAAAACCTGATAAATTTTATAGACCATCTCCCTAGGTGGAACATTGCATATTTTCATCTAACACATGAAATCAAGAGATCCATAGACCCTACATCACAGGAAAAGAATTCCTGCTTTCTAAGACACTAAAACATTTTATACCTAATCAATGATGGCCAAAGTAACAGTGCCCTTGAAATCAAAAGTCCTTCGCACTTGGAGTATGTGTGAAGCACATCTTAGTCAGTAACTGGAGACAATCTCCATTGCCAATTGTCTTCCAGGTTCCAAGTTTGTCTGTGGCTCTGCAGCTGGCAGAGGCTTTCCAACCCAATCAAATTCTATTATTTGCCACCTTGTTTGGGGCTGCTCTTTAGTGAATCATGGTAAATTTTCTTCTGAAATTCATGCTTTCAGTTATCATATTTGAACTCCCTGTCACAGAGCCTGAGTAGTGAGGGGCTCTGAAGAGAGAATATATTTATGGTAGAAATAACACTAAACTGAGAGACTGATGATAGGAAATTTTCCCCCACATTCATCCTTAACTAGCTGTGTGATCACAGAAAAGCTGCTCTATTTCTTCAGGTTTCTCAATTACAAAATGAGTACAATTATCCCTACCCTTCCTGTCTTACAACATTGCTGTGAAAAACCAATAAACTAAAGCCCATGAAAACACTTTGAAAATTCTGAGGTTACATGTAAATGTAAGAGAGAGTGGTGATGATGGCAGCCATATCTCTAACTATTATGAATGGAACTCAGTAAATACTTATTCATGATGGTTGGTGGTTATGATTTTGTCGTGAGTCATCACCACTTGTACAATGAGTTGCCTCTGAAGACAGCTTGAGCTGAAATGGAAGGTAGATGGCAATGTATCGGATTCACTACCTTTATGTGTAGACTATCTATGCTACCATTATGGGTTCAGCCATCTATTTTATAGCATGGCCACTAGGTTGTTGCTATTTAATGTGGTGCTACAACCCACAGATGAACTGCGTCCTGCAACTCTTGCTTTGTGAATTCAAATAAATCACTTATAACATCTGAATAAATACTTCTTCTCTTGGAATTTATTTTATTCTTTGTAGCTCCTTACTACTTGTATTGAAAGCATAGTCAATACAGAAGTTTAATTGTAATTTCCAGCTAAGTTTTTAAAGAAACCACATAGAAAGCATTATCACTGTTAGTTACCTGCCTGAGGGTATAAGAGATGATAACATCAGTTTTGCCTTGACTCCAGACTCCCTGCCTCAACCTCATGCTTGTCCTTCTGTTCAGCCTCAGCTCTCTTCAGGAGCTATGCCTAGGGCAGGTAGGAACACAGTTATTTGCTACTTGTACCAGGGACCTACAGTTCTTAACATTTTCCAAGCTAAACCAAACCCTAGTGGCATGCAACAGGTAGAATGTAGAAGATATAGGCTGGGCTCAGTGGCTCATGCCACTAACCCCAGCACTTTGGGAGGCTGAGGCAGGCAGATCACCTGAGGTCATGAGTGCAAGACCAGCCTGGCAAAACCCCATCTCTACTAAAAATACAAAAATTAGCCAGGTGTGGTGGTGGGTGCCTGTAATCCCAGCTACTCAGAAGGCTGAGGTAGGAGAATCATTTGAACCCGGGAGGTGGAGGTTGCAGTGAACTGAGATTGCACCATTGCACTCCAGCCTAGGTGACAGAGCGAGACTCCATCTTGAAAAAAAAAAGTAGAACATATAAACAATTCTATCTCTGTTTCTGCACTTTAGAGGGCTATTTAGGACTAACGTTAAATATGTTTTAAAACTTTCTTGAAAATAATTTTATATTGAGGTGAGATGTTAGTGTCACATCGTTTACAAGGCAGCCTCATAAATTGAGCAGCCTAACGATTATAACGAATTTTTAAAAGTCTGAAAACTTTTTCTTTCTGTAGGCCCCCTGTGGTATTTCATAAAGGACTGACAACTTTTTATTTTTTATTTTTTATTTGAGACAGAGTCTCATTCTGTCACCCAGGCTGGAGTGCAGTGGTGCCATCTTGGCTCACTGCAGCCTCTACCTCCTGGGTTCAAGTGATCCTCCTGCCTCAGCCTCCCAGGTAGCTGGGACTACAGGCAATGCGCCACCACACCTGGCTAATTTTTGTATTTTTAGTAGACACAGGATTTCACCATGGCTGGTCTTGACCTCCTGACCTCAAGTGATCTGTCCACCTCGGCCTCCCAAAGTGCTGGGATTACAGGCATGACAACTTTTTAAAAACAATTACATGCTAAGGAATTTAAACAGAGAAGCCTACATTTAGAAGTAGAAATTTGGGACTGTGACTAGATTCAGTCAATCATTCATACTTTTTTCTAACATTTACCATTTAAAATTTATTTATTTATAACTATCTACTGTATATATGGTGGCTAAAAAAACAAACAAAACAGACATGGCTCCTACCTGTATGGCACTTATAATCAAGTGGGAGAAAGAACCCAAAAAGAAAGCAAATGAGTATGTAATTACACCTCATGATGAGTTCAACGAAGGGCGTACTGTGAAAAAAGTAAGAGGTGAAGCGGCCTATTTTGATTGGCTTATCAGAGAAGGCCTATCTGAGGACATAACATTTAAGCTCAGAACTGAAGAGAAGTCTAAGCCAAGGAAGAGTGACTGCAAAACCCTAAAGAAAGGAAGGAGATTAGCATGCTTGAGGAGCTACAGCAAGACTTGCACTAAATTCAGAGATTACTAGAGCAGGTCAGTCCAACATTGATGAGACTGGTAAAATGCTGAACTTCAACCTAAGTTCAAAGCAAAGCGTTTGAAGGATTTTATGCAGGAGAGTGAATGGACCAGATTCAGAAAACAGAAGCATCAGCTGAGTGGCTACTATAGCAGGCCAAGCAAAAAGTGCCTGCCTGTTTAGACTATGGCGGTGGCAGTAGAGAAGAGAAGTGGGCATTTGAAATGTATTTAGAAGGTAGAATGGAATGGGTTTGGTGTTGGATTAGAAATTGGGGGTGAGACAGTGGGAAAATTCAAAGATGGCCCTGTAGGACTCCAGAATATGGTATTCCAAAATAGGAAGGATTGTTGAGCTTCAAACAATTAAAAAGAAATAGATGCAGAAAAGCTCTCTCTCTCTCTCTCTCTCTCTCTCTCTCTCTCTAAATGTGAGACATAGATTTACAAAGGCAATAGGTACCCCCTCTCTACCAGGGATAATAAAAGTTAACCACTGAAGATAACTTTAGATTCTTATGGCCTGGCAATGGCTGCAGAGGTATCTACATTAACAAGCTTTATTAACTAGCCTTTATCTGCCATTTATTTGCCTTCCCCCAAGTTGCTGCTCATAGAAACTCAAAGTCCTTTTCCTCCGTCTTGCCACTTCTCTAAAAATTTACTGTTCTTTATTAAAGATATTATGTAAGCTGGCATTTAAAGCCACGTCTTTGAGAGCTACTCATTCCGCAGGTGTCTCCCATGTGTATACAAAATGTACATGTTAATGCATTTCTATTTGTTTTTCTTTCTTTTTTTTTCTTTTTTTGTAGAGACAGAGTCTTGCTATGCTGTCCAGGCTAGTCTCAAACTCCTGGCCTCAAGCAATCCTCCCACCTCAGCCTTCCAAAGTGCAGAGATTACAGGTGTGAGCCACCATGCCTGGCCTTCTATTTGTTTTTCTCTTGTTAATCTCTCTAAGAATATATGAGGATTGAAGAAAAAAATATTTTTTCCATCTATAATCCCTCAATGTCTGTCTTGAGCAGGTGAATGGGTGGGAACTATGTGTCAGACCCCGCTCAAGGTCAATGATGGCTCACCAGGCTTCTGAGCATCATCTTCTGCCTTGGGCTGTGTGAGTGGATGCACTACTTTCAGTTCACCAGGTGGTACGAATGATGGATTGAGGTTAATTTTAACCATATCCTTTCCAGTGTGTTTGTTGGCTATCCAAATTGTCTTTGTTTTCCATGTTGAATAGAAGATATGGTCACCAAAAAGGGACATTGCAAACAAATTGTGCCTAAAAAGCAACCACAAAAGAAAAATGAACAACAGAACATTTGTTCCTTGTCTTATTAAAGTTTCACTTCATTTCAATTTATTGTGTAAATTTCAACCACCTACCTTTTCAATTGTTTCTCATTCAGGTTTAGAAAAGTATATTAAGTTTAAAATTTTATTCATGTCATCATACTCTGAGCTAATAAATTATAATTTCTAGCTCCAGGTCCATTTTCTCATTCTTCTGTTAGTCATCCAATAAGTGTGATGAAAATGAGGAAGCGGATAGGAACAGGCTAAGAGTGGGTTTCTAGTGACATCGATTTCACATGACTAATTTCTGCCTTTTACCACAAACCTGGAAAGTCAGTAACTGGCATGATAGCAAATCATTGAAAGATAAAAATATATAACATAATAATTCAAAATAGAATAACTATGATCAACATGTGAGAACTATTATTTGCCAAATATTCTTATTTTTGTTTGTATTCATTTATTTTCCCTTCACAATAATCCCAAGAGACAGATACTATGATTATCCTCGCATTAAAGAAAACTGAGGATAAAAGAAGTTGTAGAACCTACTCAAAGTCACTCACCTAACATGGTAAATCTGGGGATGGAACTTAAATCTTTTGGCTTCATAATCTATGGGCTAACCCACTATATGAGTTTGGTTGACAAAAGTAAAATTGATTTCTCTCATGGATTTCAAATGATAATTATTTTATTTTACAAGAGTAAAACTTACTGTGTGTGATGTTTACTCATCTGTACAGAACCTCCATCATAATCACAGGAACAAATAAGAGAATTGCTTCCTTCTCTGTTGTACTGAATCCAAAACAGCCGCTTATCAAGCACATCCAATGACACAGCTGTTATTTTCTCTGATGTCTCTAACAGAGCCTTCACTTCCACACCATCGAGATCTGCTCTGTGAAGGCTGCCAGCCACCTCTGAAGACCAAAATAGAAACCTAAGGGCAAACACATTACATGGACACAAAAATGAATATATAGTGCCTTAAACGGCCAACTCTCTCAACATTTCAGCAGCTCTTGCACAGGGCAAGTTTGACTATTTTGAATGAAAATGTATTCAACAAGTATATACTGCCCTATTAGCAACATTACAAGTGATTTCAAGTTAGAAGGAGAATTATGCCTCTACAGCAGAACATCATGATAATTAGGAATATTTACGAAGGAATTCTGCCTCAGTTGAAATGCAGGCAACTGTCCTATAGAAAATGGTGCTTGTGTACTGCAAAAGAGGGCTTTGGTCTCAGTGAGAGGGTTCCTTTGAATTTAAAATGTTATAATTCTATCAATCTTCGCCATATTTGTAAACATATTTCAATGTCTGAATATAGCAGAATTTACCTTTCTACTGGATCAACTGCTATATTTGCAGGATCTTTTAAAGCACTGAAAAGAACATGGGAATTATTTCCTTTCATATCTGTTACTGTAATGATTCCTTCCTGTTGATTTGACCAAATAACTTCTTCATTTATCCAATTTATTGCCATTCCAGAAACATTTTTCTCTATATTATATACTCTCTGCAAAATCAAATTTAAAAATCGTTAATATTTCCCTCATTTACAACAAAATTATCTTAATGGTTATATATAAAAAGTCTATTCTTTTAAGTACTTGTCATTTTTATGCATTTCCAAAATTATTTAAATGATAAAATAGCCACAGATATGGTGCCTTTTTTTGATGCAGCATTATTAAACCTCCTGTGATGCCCAAGTAAATATTTCTGGAAGTAGTATTTATATTACAGCTTTGAAACTAAAAATTATGCTACACACTATTTAAATTAGGCAGCCAACCCTAATGAATTGATCGTTTCAACTATAGTAATAGGGAAATTTTCATGCAACCATAAAGATAGCTATTCAATTCCATTCGCTAATGGACTTTTCCACATCTACAACCGAACTCAATTCCAAGCTTTGCAGGATTTCCTTGGAATTTGAGCTTAAAGACATGAAGTCAATGAATTTCTCATTACAGCTCCCCTTATTCTTCTGGCCCTCCTCCTTCGATAGGCCTCTTCCTTTTCATGCCCTCACATTGTGACCAGAGTAGCAGGGCATCTTTTTATGCACCTCGGGCTGGGTTCCCAACTCTCATGATAAAAATGCCCAACCAAAACTTTTAATTTCCTAATTCCGGCCATACTCAGGTAAGCTGGTATTTTTGGGGAATGGAGGTTGCGAGGCGAGCAGAAGCCCCGATTTGTACTGTTAAAGATTTTCATGGTGTAAATATTCTACCACGGCAGACTTCCAGCTACCCATGACATCACTGAAATAAGATCTGGGCTGAAATCGTATCATCGCATGAGCCTGTGCTATTTCTACATCTCATACAAAGAAATCTAGCCAACTTATTTTACCAACTGCTAATATTAGGTTGTTGCAAAAGTAACTGGTGCTTTGGCCATTGAAAATAATGGTGCAGGCCAGGGGCGCAGTGGCTCACGCCTGTAATCCCAGCATTTTGGGAGGCTGAGGCAGGTGGATCACAAGGTCAAGAGACTGAGACCATCCTGGTCAAAATGGTGAAACTCTGTCTCTATTAAAAATACAAAAAAAATTAGCCGAGTTGTTGGTGAATGCCTGTAATCCCAGCTACTTGGGAGGCTGAGGCAGAAGAATGGCTTGAACCCGGGAGGCAGAGGCTGCAGTGAGCTGAGAATGTGCCATTTCACTCCAGCCTGGGCAACAAGAGTGAAAACTCTGTCTCAAAAAAAAAGCAAACAAAAAAAAAAACTGAAAATAATGGGGCAATTACTTTTGCACCAACCTAATACATTAATAAATTAGCTCAGCTAGGTATATTGTTTGCATTTTAACAGTTGTCCTTCATAAACAATGTTTTAACCGAAAGGAAGAACCATAAAGATGGAATTTTAGGTATCAGGTGGATCCTTTCCTAATGACTTGACATAAATTCACAACTATTTGAAGTATTTCTATGTTCTTGATAGGAAACCCTCCAGATTCTTAGACTCAAGAGTTTTAAACTATACTACCAGATATCTGGAGGATAATGAGTAGCCTTCCTTGACAAAAATGAGGTTAGCAATATTGGAGATGTGATAAAACATATTAGCACCTACTTGAAGCTTTTAAGAATAATTGGAAAGAGATTGAGCTAAAAACCAAAAAACATCATGCACTTTGTGTTGAGAATCAACTCTTAAAGTTTCTCTAGTCACGTGCTCTTTGTAATCCATCACCAAATTGAGAGAACATTCCCCCTGGGACTCACGTAAGGGTTCTACCAGTTGAAAAGAAAGATTAAGAATTTTTGTATGTACTTGAAGTAAAGTACTTTATATCTGTCATCTGCTTTATTATTTTTTTCCAGAGTGCAAGTACCTTGAGACTAAAAAGAAGAAATTTTTTCTTTCTACATGTCAGGTGCCAAAACCCATGACGGAGATTTTATACAGATAAAACAGGGTCTCTCAACCTCAGCAGTACTGACATTTTGGGCTGGATAATTCTTTATTCTGGAGCTGTTCTGCATAGTGTGAGATGTTTTGCAGCATCCCAGGCCCCTACCCACTAGATGCCTGGATCATCTCCACCTTCCTACCTCACCTACTTGTGTCAACCAAAAATGTTTCCAGACACTGGCAATTGTTCCCTCAGGGAAAAACTGCTCCCCACCTGAGAAATACTGGGGTACCATGAAAATAGCAAGAAATAATTATGCAAATAATCTATCTTAATCATAAAATGGTGATCTGACTTAATAAATTCGGATATTTTTCAAAATTATATTCATATCCTTACTTTCTCATTTTGGGGCTTCTGAATATCAACATGTGAACTTATTCAATAATATATTACCATATTACCACAAATGCAGATTAGATAGATGCCTATATTTGGCAGACACACATTTGAACTGGAATATAATTTTCATTTATCTATACATTAAGAACTCAATATATTATATTTGTCAGCCTGTATAAAAGCAGCTCAAATACTGCAGGTAATGGTATTTTACCTCTTGCCTTGACCCATTCAGGAAAACTCTTTGCAAAAGTTGTCTTTCTAAATCCACCCAATAGATTCTTTTCTCACTATAATGAAAATCCATGATCACTGAGACACCAGCATTCGCCACCAATTGCTCATAATTTGTTCCTTCCGTGTCAATCCTAAAGATACTATTTCCGTGGGAGAAAATTAAGAAGGGTGCAGGACCTGGGTGGGAAGAAAGAAACCAAAGTGTATATTTTCAATATTTTATCGCATTTAAACAGAATACCTCCCAATGACCACAAACACAAGCAGAAATAATTTTTAATTGCCCGTTTTCTGTTTAAAATCTATTGTACAGATAATAAAGAGTTCCCATAGATAGTCACACTTCATTTTGTAAATTTTCTCCACAAACTGATTCTAAGACATGAACATTGGTAAATTATGAAAAATGAACTATCTGAAGAGAAAGACACTTTTTACTATTATCCATAAATTATCTTTTTATGTTCATAAGGGAGCCACCTGCCATATTATATTGTGGAAAGTATCTAAGGATAACATTTAATGACATGAATTGGAACAAAAATTATAGATATTATCATTTTGGAAACGGACTCCTAGGGCCTTACCTATGACCAGAGCCTTCAGCAAAATGACCTAGAAGATGATGGTGAAAACTAGCAGGAGGTCTTACATGGAAGCAGGAAAAGTTGACATGCTGTTTCCGTTTCAGAATCCTTAAAGGTTCTGAAATATTTTGACCCCGTTAGCTTTGCCACATAAATACAGGATGCCCAAATAAATTTGAATTCCATATGTATATTGCATGGGACTTGCACTAAAATGTTTTCTCTGTTTACTTGAAATTCAAATTTAACTGGGCACTTTGCACTTTTATTTGCTAAGTCTGGGTGGCAAACCTCACTGGATTTCTTGGTTCCTTTAGGGCCTTGTTTGGTATCCTAATCCTGCACCTGGGGTCCTCTCCCATTCTAGGTGATGGCCCCAATATTCAATATTTACTTGGGAACCTGATCCCTTCCTGGGAAACCTCACCACTAATTACTATCAGACTCCATACTGAACTTGCCTTTGATGCTCTGAGATAACGCCAGAGGATGAAATTTGTTTCATTAAATCAAGTTAGTTTCCTTGGTCTTTCTCTCTTGCCCAAGTGTGAGGAAGCTTGGGCCACTCTGCCTTTAGAAAAATGATAGAATCACTGGGGTGAGTGGGGAACAGAGGGGAATTCTAACATATTCTTGCTTCTGTGGTGGGCTTACTCCATTCTGTTTTATCATTAAAAGTAGTACCTTAATATGACTTAATAAATGTGTTTATTGCTGTAAGCATTGAACAAAATGACGGGTTAACATCCTTTTACTCAGCGACTATGTTCTAGAGTCAGAAAACACTAACTCCGCTTTGGAGAGTACATTGTATTAAAGCTACAAGAGGCGGGGAGAACCGTAAGATCATGAGAGTTTGAAATAGGTGCCAGCATAAATGTCTGAGAGAATTCACTCAAATTATTCTTCCCAGATCTTTGCTACAACACAAGACCCCCAACACAGACATGTGGTGGGGGAGCCCATGCTGCACTGTGCTCCAGTTGTAGAATCACAGAGGCATCTTGGGAGTAAGGGAAAGGCCACCAGACAGAAAGCCAGAGGCCCGGTTTCCAGTCCTGGCCCCACCAGCTTCACTTCTCCGGACATCTCACAGGATCTTCCCTGCCTGTATCAGAGGATTATTATGGGGGAAAAAAGAAATTATAGATGTGAAAGTATGTTATTAATTGTGGAGGACTACATGTATATCATTTGCCATTGCTTTTCGCCACAACCAAGTTTTCACCACATAGGTTGTGCTACTGCTTGGATTCGAACTCAGGGACTAGAACATTGGTATAACTTGTCTCTAATACAGCAATTCATCATGGAGAAAAGGAAGGCATTAGGAAGACACACCTTAAACCCACAGCTACTAATTCATGGAACATTGATGATCACGGACATCTAGATTTATTTCTAACAGTTTTCTGCTATGTGTATCATGCATGCTCTGTAAGCTGAATAAATGTATCCAATACATATTGTTAATTTCCTAATGCACTGACATATTGATGAGATCAAGAAAACATTTATTAAAAATATTACTAGATGGGAGGTTTCCATGTAAAAAAAGGAGAAAGGAAAGGCACTTTAAACATTTTAATATTTCTTACTGCATAACACAGTACAATCCTCTGTACATAACAGGTACTCAAAAATTTTGAATAAATAAATTAATGAAGAAATAATTGTGTTCTGTTTTTTTTGAGCTGTTACCAATAGTAACAAAGCCATAGAAATAGATACGTCAAATTAATAAAAGATGAATCTATTCAACAGTACTTATTTTACTAGCAGCAATAATAACAAATGTTTACATCCTGACTGCATTTATCCTCAATATAACACTATGAACCAATAAATCAGAGGGAAAAGAGAAATCTCAAGAATTCTTAAATTCATAAAACACAAATTACAGCATTAACTTCTGTAACTTCTCAAAAAAATACAGGATAATAAAAATATGAAATCAAGGTATAAATAATACATTTGATTTCAGATTTTGCCCATCTAAGAGCAAATCATGGCATGTAATTCTTAGCAATTAGGAAGGCCCTAGATGTTTTCAAATTGTTTCCCCAAATTGTTTGTTCAAAAGAACCACCCAGGGTGCCTCTCTGTGAGTGTGTAAGTGGATGTTCATATTTTTTGCAGATTCCTACTCTTGAGATTCCAGTTAATCCGGTAGGGCTGAGCTGAGGGGTATGCATGTGTTTTTTGAACAGGTACTCCAGGTGATTCTCAGTCTTAGTGAACCTGGAAAACATGGATCTAATTAAGAGGAAATTCAGTGATGTTTCCCAAAGTCTCACCACTAATCGGTGGTAGACTTGGAATTAGAATCCAGGTACTACACTGCCAATCTAGTACACTTCCAATTCTACCCTGCCTTGGTCTGGGTTGCCATGTGTCAGGATATTACCATCTTCATTTTCTTTGTGTAACTAATCGTAATTCCATTCCCTCAGAGCAGTGTTTGTTTTTTCTACACTGTCAACATCATTTTTTTTTTTTTTTTTTTTGGAGATGGAGTCTCACTCTGACGCCCAGGCTGGAGCATAGTGGCACGATCGCAGCTCACTGCAACCTCCGCCTCCCAGGTTCAAGCGAGTCCCCTGCCTCAGCCTCCTGAGTAGCTGGGACTACAGGTGCCCACCACCATGACCAGCTAATTTTTGTAGTTTTGGTAGAGACAGGGTTTCACCATATTGGCCATGCTGGTCTCAAGCTCCTGACCTTGTGATCCGCCCGCCTCAGCCTCCCAAAGTGCTGGGATTACAGGCGTAAGCCACTGCGCCCAGCCAACATCATTTTATGTAAGTCAGAGCCCAGGCTACATTTTTAAGAATGAAATAAAATATAATTTTAAAGAAAATGAAACACTTTGAGAATTAAGGCTTTGTGAAATACCCATTATTCTCTTCTACCTATGGAAATGATAAATATGGTAATGTTTTTCAAACCTGTCAAGGACTCTGTAAACACAGGTGTGTGGTAGTCTGTGGATTTGAATGTCAGCAGGGTGTGCATGTTTGAACAGCTAAAGCTTTCCCATGTCAAAACCTACAGCATTTGTTTTGGGTGCAGTTCAGTAAGGGGGAAGTATATAGAAAATGAAACATTTCTAGGGAACACAAACCTTAACACAGCAAACAGGTCACAGCAAATGAATTAGAACCTCTGACTTCTCAACCTAGGGATTAGTAGGGGATCTTCAGGAATTAGAAGGAGTTCCGAATGTTTGGAGCATATTGAAGCTGTTCCTCAGTGACTTCAAAGAACTAGGACTACATCGCCCAGAGGTCAGTGATGAAAAGCAGGCTCTGCTTGAAGTAGGCAGCAGAAACAGAACATTTCATAACATGCACCCCTTCAACCTCTGTGAGTCTGAGGGAGTGGCCCCACAGGTGAGTGAAAAGAGACATTACCTGTCTTCTGCAGGCCTTGGGGGCAAACGTCATGAAAGCTAGTTAACACGTAAATGATAACCACAACCAGGTTAACAAGAAATCCTAGCTGTCTCTCAGGCCAACACTGCCACCTGCCCTCACCACCACAGGTTTTTTGCCCTAAATCTAGAGACAGACTGAAAGTTCACAAGATGAAGAAAGTGCAGAGGGAGCTTCCAGACCTCAAAAACTTCAGGGACACCATGAGAAAAGAATGTAGCTCTAAACTAATGGACCTACATAAGGAAGGCTGAGGCCTCCTCACACTGCTCCCACAGGAACAATATAAATGACTCTGAGAAGAGTCATTTATTACCACTCCGAAGCGGCTGACTTAAATGATAGCTTGGGTTTTATGAAGTACGGAAAGTATTCACTCTGAAAGACTATCTCATCTTCTCTTCAGTTACGGTACTTAAAAGAGCACTGTACTAGTCTGGTTTCACACTGCCATAAAGAGATACCCAAGACTGGGTAACTTACAAAGGCAAGAGGTTTAACTGACTCACAGTTCCACATGGCTGGGGAGGCCTCGGGAAACTTATAATCATGGCGTAAGGCAAAGGGGAAGCAAGGACGTTCTTCACATGGTGGCAGGAGAGAGAAGAAAGAGCAAAGCAGGGAAGCCCCTTATAAAACCATCAGGTCTCGTGAGAACTCACTCACTGTCGCGAGAACACCACTAGGGAAACCAGCCCCGGGATCCAATCACTTCCCACCACATTTCTCCCTCAACACCTGGGATTATAATTCAAGATGAAATTTGGGTGGGAACACATAGCCAAACTATATCAAGCACAAATGCAGTTTTTGGACAATCACAGCTTTCTTCTCAGTTTATTCATTCATGTCAAAATTCAGGTCAGGTGAGAGAGGGAAGCCAGGTGATTTAAAAATAATACACCCAGAAAGAAAAGCCAGGAGATTTGAATTTAAGTCTTAATTATGTAAAAAATGCTCTGAAACTCCTTTTGTTCCCCAAAATTGTGAATGAAGATTGACTACAGTAGTGATAGAAATGTGTCATCTGGGGCAGAAAATAAGCCCCTACCTACACCCAACCACATTCACATGTAAGCTGAAAAGGCTTACTTCCCAGATCCCCAGGATATTAATTGAGACTAGCAAGTTCTACAACATAAAACTTTTTTGTCTC